ATCACCTCAGATCCAATTCACGCAAAAACTAAATTCCCATGTCTTTTCAAACGCTCAAATCACCTTGTGATGTATTCATGTCATGACTCATTTATCTTTAGTCACGTGATATTCTGAAGAACATTACAGGCCTTGACAGGGACGTCATTTGAACACGCCCCCTTTGCTTGACACAGGCTTCTGGGTTTCAGTGACAGATGTAACATCACTAGTCTAGGTTATTGAAGTGTTGTATTTTTTCTTTGAGCACTGGCAATAAATGGTGTTCTGAGTTCAGTCTTGTTTCCGTGTGCACAATTTCATCTGCACATTGATACATGACACTCAAGTGATAAACGAAACAAGCCCTGGGACTTAAAGTTTTGTTAACATTTGTGTAGTTTTCTCCAACTTGATGCATAACACAGTTGTTCACATTCACAATTGTTCTGCATACATTTTCTTAACATTTTATTTTATTTAACCAGTTGATTTTCTCATTAAGATGCTAATGTATTGGATGGCCTACCCTGTGAAAACAATACTGCGTACTGCTATGAAGGACGCTGTCAGACATATGATTATCAGTGCAGACATCTGTTCGCACCAGGTAGATCCAGTAATAATTTATTACTTTTTTATGCTTTTAGTTTTCAGTAATGTGATTACGATCACTAGGCAAGATAAGAATTCTCAGATTTGTCTTGTTTTTTTCTGGATATTATTTCTCTTTTTGGCAGATAATGCAATAAAAGCAGCAGATATTTGTTTCCAAGATGCAAATATGCAGGGAGATCGGTTTGGTAACTGTGGAATCAACAGCAATGGAAACTACATCAAATGTACTTTAGCGTAAGTACTGTCTTTGAATGATTAGACATCATTAATTTAACATGTTGTGAATTTAAGTAGTTTGCTCTCTCTGTACCTCCATTGGTTCTCCCTTGGGTATCCTGCTTATTTCCCACAGCTCAATTAGGTTAACTGTTGATTCTAAATTGGGTCTAGATGTGCATGTGAGCATGAGCTAATGTCTGTCTCAATGTGATAAACTGGCACCTTGTGTAGGTGTACAGTGCCAACTAATGAAGTTCACTGTTCGTAAATATTACATGATTACTTTTAGCTACCTGAATCATTTATTGTGAACCCACATCAGCGCTTGCTGAAACTTTTTGTGGCAAGATTAAGATTTTCAAATAAGCTATACTTTCCGTCCAAGTGAGATAATGCGAAAACTTTTATTAAAAGTGCAATTACAAAGAGCCTTTGATTAGAATAAAGAAAATAATGGCATCTTTGGCATACCATTTAAAGGTTTGTTGATTGTTTCTTTGACTTCCTGATGCAGAAATGCCATGTGTGGAAAGGTGCAGTGCGCCAATGTGGATGTGTATAACCCTCCTCCTGGTGTCAGTCAGTATCAAAATAGTTGCTGGGAAGACTTGTGTTAATGCAGACTTCAACCTTGGTACCGATGTGGTAGATCCAGCCTATGTTAACCCTGGCAGCCCTTGTGGTAAAGGAAAGGTGAGCAGACTCTCGTTGCTAATGACAACAGAAAGAAATGTAACAAGTAATGCAAATGTGATTTCACTTTTTCTATGACAATAGTGTTTCTATAAGAAGGAAAATCTTCTAATGACTCATTTTAACTGCAGCAGTAAGTAATTTTTTTTTTCAGGCCTGTCTGGACTTTCAGTGTGTGAATGCCTCAGCTCTCCTGCCCAACCTGGACTGTGATGCAAATACCACCTGCAATAGCCAAGGGGTAAAACTGCATTTTCTTTTTTCATACAGACACTTAGGACATGTCAGACTTTCTCTTTTTAATGTTTATTTCAGGTATGTAATGATCAAGGGCACTGCCACTGTGAAGATGGCTGGGCCCCACCTAATTGTGACAAGTCAGGGCACGGTGGCAGCATAGACAGTGGTCCTGCTCAGGTAGGTGGACTTGAATAGACCTATGATCATCAATGCTGAGTTGGGCTAACAAAGTCCTTTGAATTCATCATTAGAGACACAGTATTTCAAATTACTGTTGAATAAATTGTTCTGTTCCTCCACTGACATGGTTGTGGTAACTTATTCTGATCTAGGCAATTTGGTGAAACTGTTTTGTGTAAATTTCCCAGTTTAACTATATGAGTGTTGGATCAGAAATAACATAATTATCAAGTTATGATGTGTGATCATCCATGTTCTATCCAGTTGATGCCTGCACAGATAAAAAGCTAAAACTTTATCTGGTTTAAATTTGGTCACAACAAGTGAACTCTTTGTGCACCTCTTAATAGCCTCTGGCACTGATACTATTACTTGTTACTATTTATTAAAAGTCACTGATTTTTGGTAATCTGATTTAAAAACATGACAAAACAAAAAGTTATTGATATACGTTGCTAATCCATTAAGTAATAAGACTTTCTCTACCACAGACTGCTCTTTCAGGAACAGCCTCCTGGTCTTCTTCCTGTTGGTGGTTCATCCTCTGGTCTTTCTCATTCTGGTGTCGCTCTACATTTTGAGACACACTGTAAATATCTTAATCATCTCGACAGAGAAAGGAAACACTGCCTTTTTTGTTGTTATTTAAGGAAGAAATGATGCTTTTGCTTAAAATGTAATCAGTGCAGGGGCAAGGGAAGTTGACTAAATTAAAAGTAAACTCATATTTTTAATGTATCTTTCAATAATATCTTTATGTTCACTGATTTCACATCTACCTTAAAGGGAGATACACAAGCTGATCTGCCTAACTGGTTTCACTTGAATTAAATGTCAGTGTTTGGTATGGAGAACTGGAATGTTGGAATGCAGAAAAACTATCAGTTCCGGTTCATGTTCTCCTTTGTATTTTTTTTTAATCATTAATACCTGTTCAGGAAAGCCATGTATGAGCCAAAGGTTCAGTTTGGAAGAATAGAGGAGAAGGGATGTGTGGTTCAGTTTTGTCATGAAACCGTCAGCAGGGGTCACTATTTTAAAAGCTTTTGTAGACAAATAACACAGGTCAGTGGATTGAGATCAATGATAGAAACGGTTAATAGCTCTGACACAAACAAACTGATCAATCACTTTAATTTTTCTCAATACTTTGAAACATTGACTTCTAATTACTTATCCGTCTTCTAAACCTTAAGCATACTTTTCTGCACTGAGAGACTCCAAAGTCAAGGCAGAGAGACATTTCACTGGATCAATCAGACCCTTTGCTCCTTATTGTCACCTTTGCCCTGCCTTGCACCCATTTAGCATCATAGTGCGAGCCATTTTATTTGCTGAAATCCAAATAAACCTACCTGAGACTGGAGAATTGAGACTAGAGTTTATCAGGTCAGCTTTTTGGACTTGAAATTCTGTGTAAGTAACTATTATTATTTCTGTCATTATTGTAATGTATATTTTCATGCAGTTCACAAAGGATCTTCTTTTGATTTGGCCATTGTAAATCTCAAGTCTGCTTTTAAAAGACAACCAGTTTGCAGCCAATGGTACATAGTAAAACCTTTCATGGTGACGAAACTTGAATGCTTGGTTGTCATAAATAGGTGTACCTTTGGCTGGGTGTTGTCTGGAATGCAGACTCAAAGTACACTGAAAAGGTACTTTATTAAGGTGAAGCCAAAGATCCAAAAGGCCATTATACAAACAGAATCCAGAAATTCAACCAGTGGCAGCTCAAGTAGCCAAAAGTAGTATAATGTAACAAAAATCTAAAGCAAGAAGTGGGCTTAAATACATACAAAGTGATCAATGGAAGTGGACAAAGCAGGATAATGAGAAACACCTGATTCTGATCAAAGATAATGAGGCAGGAAGGTATTTAATTACAGCTCATTTTAGCTGCACTTCTTGTCACACTGAACTTGGTAAGAATGGATTTGACCAATGAAATGAGCTACCAAAAATAAAATATTAATGAATTCATAAAAAAAATATGAAGCTAAATTCTGGTTGTGTTAAAAAAAAAAAGTTATAATTACATCCATCTGCAGTTATTTTTTTTTCATGCCTTCTAGTTTGTAAACGTGAATAATGTGCTTTGTCTGCCTACTTTTTGAACTTAGACTGTAAATGTATTTTGTACACAGGTATTTCTTGGGGAAAATAAATCTTGATCTCAGTGATACAACCTGTTTAAATAAAGAACGTAATGATAATTTCTGTGTGTAGCCTATACTATGTCATCACTAGACTAATATGCTATAGTTGGTTTATCCAGAAGCTCCTCGAATTTCTGACTTCCAAATAGCCTCCGAGATCTTAACCCTGACGTAATATATATCGAAAATATCCACTCAGCAAGTATTGTTAAAAGATTGCAATCTTTATATTAACAACACAAACAAACGGAGGCGTCTCTTGGTAGAAAAGTTATTTGGGACAAAGTTGTAAGGTAGGACTGAAATATAACCTTTAACGCTTAAAAGAAAACTTCTCATATAAAAATCCTCTGACAAATCGCTTTGAATTGTCACTGCAACAAAGTCCGGTTTTCTAAGGCGCTCACCTGTCCAAAGCCACACCCATCGTTAGCCACCTGACAAGGAGCAGGAAGCAAAGACAAAACAGGCACTCTGTGGGCCTAACGGGGACGCAATCTACAGACTTCAAAAATGATCATCAAAAATCACATCCTAATAACTGTTTTTGTTTTTTCCTTTATTTCTGGGATCGATAACAAAGGTAAGACTCCTCTGAGCTTGACTAAATGCGTAGGCTGTCGATGTTAAAGGACATACAACGAAAACTTGGAATTTTTCATTCTTAAAAAAAGGAGGGGGGGGAGAGTCCAGCAAAAAAGCTGTGTGGTTAATCAGGACATATTTAGCTTCTGAAAGTACAGCAAAATAAGCTTAAATGTTGCTCTGGTCATTTTAATTTGGGTGTATTCTTAAATGTCTCTTTTCCTGAAGACTAGCATTATGTAATCATGGAGTGACTTCTCTATTTTCATAGTATCTTGTTGAATTTACATTGCAGATGCTTTCCAGGGCTTTACATCAAAGCTTTCCAAGTATTCCATTGTAAATCCTCAAGTGATTCATAGAGGGTCTAGGAGCATCAACAGACAACATCATTTAAAAGATGTGAGTACCTGATACCTGACTGAATTATCTTTTCAGCTGATGGTTTAATATGAACTTTTTTTTTTTAAATGCTCTTTACATATTAAGAAATATGGAGATGAGACAGTGTCATATGCAGTCAACATAAACAACCAAAAGCATGTCATTCATCTAAAAAAGAACAGGTATGTGAATTTGGTTGTAGTGACATTATAAGCTTATATTAATGCTGCAGACAAATATATATACATCTTTTCTTTTCAGAGACTTCTTACACCCAAATTTTGTTCAATATTCACGTGACGCTGCCGGGAACTACAACACATCGTATCCGAAAGAACATGTACGTTGAAACACACCTTAAGTTATAAGGCTGGTCTTGACCATTAACTCTAAAACCTGTTTTCATTTTGTTGTTTTTTCAGGTACATTGTTATTACCACGGGGAGGTGGAAGGCTATAAGGATTCAATGGTAGCGCTGAGCACGTGCTCTGGTCTCAGGTTTGACTATCCCTATTTAAAACAATTCAAATTATTTTCCAGTTATTCTGGTTATTGGGAAATGTTCTCGATAAGTGCCAATGATTTGCTTTAACCTTTTTGAGGAATAGTATCTAAGTTTCCTGAGCTCATAGTACCTGCTGCAGGATTGCCATGCCAAGCCCCTGAATAGAATTAGAGCATTTGTCACTTAGAATGTCTTGAATGCTTTTCTGTAGGGGTGTGATCTTCTTTGAAAATAAGGCCTTTGGCCTGGAGCCTGTGCCACAGTCCACCACCAATGACCACCTTCTCTACCTTTTGGAGGACGTTCAGACCGAGCCCATCACCTGTGGAGTCGTTACTGAGGCTACTTCAGTGCCGAGCCACGAACCCTTTGAGCCTGGCCAATCCCTGACTTCTCTGCTGCGGGTTAAATGCTCATTTGTTACTTCAACATATATTTGCAGTGTTAAAAGGTTATACAACGTGAAAATCATTGGGGTTTTTGTTGCTTTAACAGAGAAAACGCAATTTACCACAGACCAGTTATGTGGAGTTGGTGCTGGTTGTGGATAATCTCAGGGTGAGTGTGTAAATATATATGTAGCTAGATATATATGTGTCTATGAACTCACTGATATGGAAATAATGACTAGGCTTTTGTAAACTGGTGCAGTAAATGAACATATTACTCCTGGTGTCACCAGGCATATAATAGTTTTTAAAATAACTTTTCTCACAAAATCTGGAGTGCTTATATTGTAAAATATAGTGCCAAAGCTATTGAGCAGCATGTTAATGTAAATGCCATTAAATACAAATTAATTGTGTTGACAGTATACTTTTAAGAAAAACAATGCGACAGCAGTGAGAGAGGAGATGGTGCAAATGGCTAATCTACTGGACGGGGTGAGATTTTAAGTAGTTTGTAAAAGAAAACGTGCCTAATTAAACTAGATTCTGTATTAAAACACTGGTATTTATTTTCCTCTTTGTTGTAGTACTACAAGCAGCTGAACATCCGAGTTGTCCTGGTGGGCCTGGAGATTTTTAAGGATAGTAATCCTTTTAGTGTGGACGGCAGTGCAGGAAATGTGTTGGGAAATTTTGTTCAGTGGAGGAAGACTTTTCTGGTACCCAAAATCAGGCATGACATTGGACAACTCATTGTGTAAGTAACACGTGGTCTTTGTCCTTTGGTTTATTTAGTTATTCTGAGCAAGATGTTGTATCAATAATGCTTAATATCAGAATATCAACTGCTCTCTGACACATTTACCCCTTTTTCCATATTTGTTAGTGGTCAGTCTGGGGCATATCCAGGAGGTGTATTAGGTATGGCCTTTGTGGGCACAGTCTGCTCTGCCTCAAGTTCTGGAGGAATCAATGTGGTTAGTTCATCTCTGTTAACTTCTAACACCAGCTGACACACAGAAACTGATACCAATCATACATTATTCATAAAAACTGCAGCTTATTCTCGCAGGCTTTGAATACATTCTACTCTAGTCAAACAGGTTATACTTGAATGCACTCCACCACCGTGACAATGCATCTTTCTTTGTATTATTACAAAGTCTTTTTGGAAACTGCTTTTCTTATTAGTCAAACAACATAATTTATAACATGTATCAATTGCTATTACTATTGCAGTTGAGAAAGTGATTACATCAATAAATTGATTTCTAATATTAATAGAAATCTATATGTACTATATAATATTATATTTTTTGTAGATATATTTGATATATGCTTTTAAGTTCATTTACATTTTTTTTCCTTCTGGCTATACACGAATAATGATTTATCATATCATTGATTTAAACTCACGGTGCAGCACGGTGGCACGGTGGTTAGCACTTGTGCCTCACAGCAAGAAGGTACTGAGTTCAATTCCACCATCAGGCCGGGGTCTTTCTGTGTGGAGTTTGCATGTTCTCCCTGTGTTTGCCCCCGGGTACTCCGGCTTCCTCCCACCGTCCAAAGACATGCAGCTTGTGGGGATAGGTTAATTGGATAATCCAAATTGCCACTAGATGTAAATGTGAGTGCGAATGGTTGTCTGTCCCTGTGTGTTGGCCCTGCGACAGACTGGCGACCTGTCCAGGGTGTACCCCGCCTCTCGCCCTATGACAGCTGGGATAGGCTCCAGTGCCCCCCGCGACCCTGAGAAGCGGAAGCGAATGGATGGATGATTTAAACTCTCATTTCAAATTCAGGAGCTGCAAATTGGGCATAAATTTTGTTAAAATGTCACCATTTAATGTCCTGTGTTTGTTTTTTACAGTTTAGCAACAACAATTTGGCTTTTGTCTCCACTGTGGTGGCTCATGAGATGGGTCATAACCTGGGCATGAATCATGACTCTGCGAACTGCGCCTGTAATGGAAAAAGCTGCATCATGTCAGGAGGTGCCAGGTAATACAGTTTTCACTAATGTTCAAAAAATGTTTAATTTATTGTTTTTTCCGTAGAAGTCTTTTTTTTTTTTTAACCTTCCTTACAATTCCAATTCTGAAAATTTGGGACGATATGTCAAATTTAAGGAAACAATGAATCCAATCACTAGTAAAGGTCTAGCTGTATGCAAACGTTATCTGAAAACGCCGTCACTAGCTCATTCCAAATGAACTGAACCAAAGTGAAAAACTGTTCTGTGGTTGTACGAATCAAAATTTGAAATTCTTTTTCGGAAACCTGGGCGCTGAACTGAAGAGGAGCGTTAGTGCCTATGGAAATGGCAGCTTTAACATCTGGAATGGCACCATCAGTGCTGAAAGATATATAAAGGTTTTAGATCAGTATAGATATTTAGAATTTGACAACAGAAACCTTTCACTATAGTAGGGTTTTTAAAAACATCTATATGAGGCCTGTCCAACTGTATATTTCTATAAATGATTTATCCTGTTATTTTGCAGTGGTGCCACAAATTTTAGCCAGTGCAGTGAAGCAGATTTTGAAGCACTGATTTTAAGAGGAGGAGGCCTGTGTCTGAGAAATCAGCCCGCTGCATCAAATGTGATTAGCAATCCTGAGTGTGGCAATGGCCTACTGGAACAAGGGGAGCAGTGTGATTGTGGCAAACCACAGGTAGAGTACTACTGTCAAATATAGTACTGTGCAGAAGTCTTGAACCAACCCTCATTTCTTTATATTTTGCTTCCATTTATTTATTGAACAATAGTTTTTCAGACTTTCTAAGAGTTCATCTAAAGGTCATTTCTTTTATTATTCTTTTATTATTATATTTTTTAAGCTACTTCACTTAAATTTTTGAATATTCAGGAAATACCAAAAATAGCGTAGTTTAGCAATCATAAATTGTATTTTTGCACCATCAAGGTGATTGCCAAAGAGCCATTAGCCAAAAAACATGGCATGTTTGGTATGGTGTGCAGATGGGGGGGGGGGGGGGGAAGTGACTGACCTGAAAATCTATTTGCAGCAAATGAAAAAAACAGAAGTTTTGTATCTTTTGTTTAAATAATTAATAACTGTCTTTTTTTTCATCTGTTTCATACAGGAATGTACGAATAAGTGCTGCAATGCTGCCACATGTACATTTACCCAAGGATCTGCATGTGCTCACGGAGCA